GATCCATACAGGGATGAAACCATATCAATGCATGGAGTGCGGAAAGAGATTCAGTACAAGCAGTGATCTCATTTCCCATAAACGGATCCACACAGGAGAAAAACCATATAAATGCACAGAGTGTGGAAAGAGCTTCCGCAAGAGTATTAATCTTACTTCTCATAAAAGGATCCACTCAGGGGAGAAACCATATCAATGCACAGACTGTGGAATGAACTTCAGTCAGAGTGGTCAACTTATTTCCCACAAAAGAATCCACACAGGGGAGAAACCTTATCAGTGCATGGACTGTGGAAAGAGTTTTAGAGCCTTAAATTCCTTTATTTCCCATAAGAGGATCCACTCTGGGGAGAAACCATATAAATGCATGGAATGTGGAAAGAGCTTCATTAACAGCAGTGATCTTACATCCCATAATAGGATTCACAGTGGGGAGAAACCATTTAAATGCATGGAATGTGGCAAGAGCTTCAGTACAAGCAGTCACCTTAATTCCCATAAAAGGATCCACTCAGGTGAGAAACCATATCAATGCATGGAGTGTGGAAAAAACTTTAGTATGAGCAGTAACCTTACTTCCCATAAAAGGATCCACACAGGGGAGAAGCCATACAAGTGCATAGAATGTGGAAAGAGTTTCAGCCAGAGTGCTTCCCTTAGTTCCCATGAAAGGATCCATACAGGGATGAAACCATATCAATGTATGGACTGTGGAGTGAACTTCAGTCAAAGTGGTCATCTTAGTTCCCATAGGAGGATCCACTCAGGGGAGAAACCATATCAATGCATGGAGTGTGGGAAAAACTTCAGTATGAGCAGTAACCTTACTTCCCATAAGAGGATCCACACAGGGGAGAAACCATACAAGTGCATGGAATGTGGGAAGAGTTTCAGCCAGAGCACTTCCCTTAGTTCTCATGAAAGGATCCATACAGGGATGAAACCATTTCAGTGCATGGACTGTGGAGTGAACTTCAGTCAAAGCAGTCATCTTAGTTCCCATAAAAGGGTCCACTCAGGGGAGAAACCGTATAAATGCACAGACTGTGAAAAGAGCTTTTATACAAGCAGTTCCCTGATTTCGCATAAGAGGATACACTCTGGGGAGAAGCCATATGAATGCATGGATTGTGGAAAAAGTTTCAGTACAAGCAGTTCCCTTATTTCACATAGGAGGATCCACACAGGAGAGAAACCATATCAGTGCAAAGACTGTGGAAAGAGTTTCAGTCAGAGCACTTCCCTCTCTTTTCATAAAAGGATCCACCCAAGGGAGAACCCACTTGCCAGCATATAATATGGAAGGAGCTTCATTCAGGATCATGAACTTCTCAGAAAAGGAGCTACACGGAGAGGCCATGTACGTGTGGAAAGAACTCATTCCATTTCTGATCAGCATGCCAGATTGGAAAGGAAGTGGATTATGATTACTGTGTTAGAGAAGGGAGAAGATATATGGGCCAAATGAAGGAGATTACAGGAAAGCTTTTGAAGAGCTTCCAAGTTACTACAAGACGTACTACTACATCTTGTCTGTGTAGTAAGTGGAGTATAGCTAGACTTTATGACATTTAGCTAAGCATATGTGTCAAACATAATCCCATCTGCAGCGAGATATTAGGGATACTGAGATTTTTAGTAAACCATTACCCAAATGGAAGGTGAGGGGTTTTTTTCTTCCTAATCATTACCTGTGAGTTGGGTTGGCAATGCTGACTTTCAATTTGGGAACAGACATCCGTGCTGAATATGACTGGGTAAGAGGTATAAATGGCTACAGACATAAGTGTGAATGCATTTGAGCATTAGCCAGCCCTTAATCCTAATCCTAACTCGGTTTGGGGGATTGTGGTTTATCCCTGTTTGTCTGCAGAAATTTAACAGTTTTTCTAAGACCTAAGGTGGACTTCTGTCTCTTTTCTTCCTTCCTTGATCCACTTACCTCTTCTTGTGGTAATACGCCCTGTTCTATTCCTCTCTGCATTTCCCCACCTCTATTTCCAGCAAAATTTCACCTTCCCCAATCTCTAATATGTATTTATTGGGAGGGCGGTAACAATCCATAATTGGCTACGTAATTGGAGACTCTACTTTAGGCCACCACTTAATCTCAGAAACCACTGGGAGAAAATGCAATGGCTGCTAGTTTTCTTGATAAGCCATGAGTTGGCCAAGCCTGTAGATGATACTGAAATATTCAAGATAGTGAAAACAAACGTGATTGTGAGGAATTTGAGAAGAATCTCTTGAAAGAGAATGAACAGTCAACTCAGGGGTCAGTGCAGTTCCCTTGAAGAACATCGAAAGTGACATGTAATCTCCTAATTTGATATCCACGTTGTTGAGGCCTAAACTGTAGTTAAGCAGGAGAAGGATCTCGGGTGATAATGGAGATCTCAATGGAGTCATTGACTCAGTATGTGGCAGTTGAGAAAAAGACAAATCCCATGTTAGGCATCAGTAGGAAAGGAATGGAAATAAAACAGCTGATACTGTTATTCCCTTCTACGGTATATTTGCTTTTTGAATATTGTGTTTAGTTCAGGTCATCCCATTTGGAAAAAGATATACGAGAGATGGTCGAAGTTCAAAAGCAGCCATCCAAATGATCGGGGGCTTGGATATGTTTATTTGTGAGAATTGGCTAGAATTTTTGGCACTCTTTACCAAAGGGGGAAAAAAGGATGAATCACCCTGGTGTAAAAAATTAGGTTGCAGGGATCATCCAGTTAAGCTGAGTAGGAGGAGATTTAGAATAGACAAAAGAGTGTTTTTTCACGCTGCCCATTGTTAATTGTAACACTGCATGGATTCAGCCTCCAGGATTTAAGCACCACTCGATAGCATTTCTTCCTTTAATAATGATTTAGATTGTGTGCCTAGTGATTTATATATGTATGTATGTATAGACTTTTTGTCTAGATTTTTATTTTTCATATTGTTAGCCATCTAGTCACGCATGTGATATGGGTGGCCATATAAATCCAATTAATTAATTAATTAATTAAAAACAAATTTACTGATTTGTATACTGATTTGGAGAACTTGTGATCAACCTCAAGTCCTCTCCTTGTCCAGAGAGGAATTATGAAGAGCCAGTCTAATTGCTGGCTGTTCATTCCACCACATTTGTTGGCTCCATCCATCCTATTTGAAATTGCACCCTCCTGTCTTTTTTTTTGCATATTAACAAGGATTGATCTTTATATGAAGCTAAATATTATGCATTTCAGTTTGTTCTCAAGTGTTCAAGCACAAAGCACAGCAACATAATGTGATTCCTTAGAAGACAGGAAGAAGAAATCTGTACATGCCCTAAGGTCCTCACCTTCTGTTACTTTCCTTCCAGGATCAGTATATATGCAGAGCTAGAAGACAGGAGGGTGCAGTTTCAAATAGGATGGATGGAGCCAACAAATGTGGTGGAATGAACAGCCAGCAATTAGACTGGCTCTTCATAATTCCTCTCTGGACAAGGAGAGGACTTGAGTTGCTCACAAGTTCTCCTGGCAGTTGCTCCTCCTGAGGAGACAGCAAGGCAGCAGTCTCCAGTGGGTTATGAACAGCCAGCAATTAGACTGGCTCTTCATAATTCCTCTCTGGACAAGGAGAGGACTTGAGTTGCTCACAAGTTCTCCTGGCAGTTGCTCCTCCTGAGGAGACAGCAAGGCAGCAGTCTCCAGTGGGTTTAGAGCTCTGTGAGACAAGGGAATTGCCATCTTGCTCAAACCATAGTTGGCGCCTTTAAAAGGACACTGGGCTCGCCTACTTCCCTTTTCTAATCACTTTTGGGAATGGTTTGTTCTCCAAGGGACATAATCCAAGGGAAAGCAATGGTAGATGATCCATCATTCTCCTCCCAAGGAGAAGCAGTTGCAGAGGTCATTCACAAGAGTCATGTCATGTGAGATGGATGGTCATATAAATATGATTGATAAATAAATAATAAAAACAGATGAGAACTTTGTACATAATATTCATTTGTTTGATTTATACTCCATCTCTTTGGTGAACATACAGGTGAAATGAACTCTCAATAACTCGAAACAGGAGAACTAAATAGAGAACTTATCCCAAGCCCGCAAAAAACTCTAGTTTTTGGTCTGTTCATTCTCTGAAGAAACGAGGATGAAAACTTATCACCGTTGTGGAGGTATGGCATGACATGTTACAGATGTTAAAATGGCCTCACCTCCTAGAATCAGCAGAAAAGGAAACTACCACAACAGATGTCCATACTTCTAATGGGCACACAGACTATTCTGTTTGTTTCTGCCCATGATCACTTGGGCACTGAAAGAGCAGGAGAGCTCACAAGAGCTGTTCTGGCAGAGGCCTCAATTTTACAGAGGACATTACTGTCTTCTAGTGGTGGGTTTTAAAGGTGACAGAGCTCCACAAAGTTCCAAATTATAAGAATTCCCCTATTTGTACCTGCTCCTTATCATTTGAACATCAAAGAAGAAGCCTTAAAATATGCTGTCATTGGTTTAAAAGGTCCATGTTTTCTGCTACCTTCTGGACAGGGGAGCATGACAGTCCAGGAAAGCTTGCTCCACTGTTGGAAGAAAAAAAGCCATAGAGGTCATCCAGGAATTTGGTGTGTTATGGTATCAATATCCTGATGACATGAAGCCCTAGTTCAGTTTTCTTTGGTTTCCAGGGAAGCAACTCTTGATTTGAACCTTTAACAGGATGCAAGCAAATAAACTGATACCAGAACAGGGATCTGGCAACTTTTAAATGGCACTCTTGACTCCAGCACCCAGCCTTTTGTAAGGCCTTGAAAGCTGCAGAATTGGGCCTGTTAAAAATTGGATGGGAGACCATCAGGAAATCTAAGAGCTGCAGGCTAGATTGAGACAATTTAAACAAATGGCATTTTCCACAACCAGTTTTGTGTGTGCAGCCTTATGAGTGCAGGCATACATGGACAAATTCAGGATGTCCTTTGCAAAGTGTTGGGCCACCACACTCAGAATACTGTAAATCAGATTACCAAACCACTACTAGATGGCAACATGTTGTTCTATCATGTTGCAGCCACCTATTGGTCATCCAAGGTTTTGAAAGTCATAGGTGGAAGCCCTACTTTAACTCTTGGCACTACAAAGTGAGATGCCAGCCAAGAGTCTTGCCCTCTAGACATCAAACTTTTTCATTTTAACTCTTCAGTAGTGTATCTGTTGTGACCAAGGAGGCTGCAAGACCTTTTCCTGAAGAGGAGGATGTGCAAGAGAAAAGAGCAAAGCTGTTACCATGAAAAATACAGGTAGTCCTCATTTAGCAACTACAACTGGGACTGGCAACTTGGTCATTAAGCAAAGCAGTTGCTGAGTGAAACTGCAACTGTGCTTATGATCTTATTTCAGCTTTCCTCTGCTTTACAGACCTGCAAAGGTCATAAATGCAAGGATTGGTCGCAAAGTTACTTTTTCATCACCGTCATAACTGCAAATTCACTAAACGAGAATTCAGATTTTGGATTTATTTTCAGGGGTGGAAGTACAGTTTGGAAGCTTTCATATTCCCCTCTGTTGTTTGCAAGGGAAATACAGTACCTTCTTTTTCCATGTTGCGAGGGGGGGCGAGGAGCTGGTTTAGGAAAGCCCTCCCTTGCTTAAAGTTCTGGGGGCTTCTGAGGGCAGAAGGAGCTGGAACTGGAGGTGGACTAGTTCTCCCCTGTAAATGTTATAGGCGAACAAGCAAAGCAATGTCAGGGAAAGGACCTCTGTTTCCTCCCTTTCTGAGACAGACCCTGGCCCATCTGGAGTCCCCATTGGTTCCTGACTCTCAGATTAGGACCCTCCATCCCATCTGCCCAAACCTTGCAGGGGTGAAGAGAAAGAGGGAGAAGCTTTTCTTGACAGAAAAAGAAAAGTGGAGCATGGAAAGAGATTGAAGCACAGTAGTACTTAAACTTCCCATAAAAGAATCCATTCTGGAGAGAAACCATATAGTAATTGTATGGAGTGTGGAAAAAGCTTCAGTGACAGCCATTCCCTTACTTCCCATAAAAGCCTCCACACAGGAGAGAAGCCATTTAAGTGTATGGAACATGGAAAGAGCTTCAGGCAGAACAATAATATTACCTCCCATAAAAGGATTCATTTAGCGCGAAAACCATACAAACGTATGGGGTGCGGAAAGGGCTTCAGTGACAGCTGCTTCCTTAGTTCCCACAAAAAGCTCCACACAAGACGGAAACCATATAAATGTATGGAGTGTGGAAGGAGCTTCGCGAGAATGGTAACCTTACTGCTTATAAAAAATCCACACAGGGGAGAAACCGTATAAATG